ATTAATATTTATTTAGTATTTATTAATATTTATTTAGTAGTTATTAATATTTATTAGTATTTATTTTTTACAGAGCGACCACAATGTGATACAATTCGAGGTTTAAATTGGGTTTAGTTTAATTTGGTTTGGTTTACAGCATGGGTTATTTAATTCCGACAAGATTTTTATTGCTTGTAATATTTTTTCCAAAAATATATTCCTGGTAATATTTATTTTCTTCAAAAATGTATTGCTGGTAATAATGTATTTCTGGTAATAATTTTTAATTCAAAAATTTATTCCTGGTATTAAAACCTATTTCTACATTTTCATAGTGATTTAACCCTAGTTTAGGAGTTAACTATTTGCCTATAGTTGGGACCCTAACTGGTGCTACCACCCCGTGTCAGAGGTGGTTCCACGCTCCGCAAAACCTCTTGATCAGAAGTCTTGCTATTAGACGTAGTTTATCGTCTTACCCTGGACGGAAACCGGGTTTAACGGCAATATCGTAGAAAAATTGCCCACTTCTCCTTTTGGGGATGACTCAGACGCCAGGGAATAAACACAGCCACCTTCCCAAACAAGAGGTACTGCCTGGGAGGAAGCAGTAGTTAAACATTAGTTTTCTTGATTGAAAATGTTATTGATCTTAATAATTGCTGGAGTTGCAACGAAAGCAGTGATGGTGCCTGCCATATCTAGGTGTAGTTTTTTTTTTTCAGTTACTTGTTTTCAAATCCTAGCTTTGGATTGGCAACTTTCGTGTCGTCTGATTGATGACTATTTCTACACTATTCTCTATTTTCTGTACTATTCACTATACTATTTCTCTATACCGATCACTCTTCTCTATCCTATTCTCTGTACTATTTCACTATAATGATCAATATAGGGATCACTATTCTCTGTACTATTCACTATACTATTTCTCTATACTGATCACTATACGGATCACTATTCTCTATCCTATTCTCTGTACTATTTCACTATAATGATCAATATAGGGATCACTATTCTCTGTACTATTCACTATACTATTTCTCTATACTGATCAATATACGGATCGCTTTCCGTTTCCTTCGTACACTTGCTTCGTAATCTTCAAAAGATTAAATTCAACGTCATTCGCCGTCTATCTTCTTGAACCCTGTTCAATTTTTATCCTTTTGTCAATCCTCCCTATTCTCAGTCTTCTTGTTCTATTTCACTCCCTGTAACCCCCTGCGCATTAGAGGCATTACCGACGTGCATGGAAATGAAAAAAAAAAAAAAAAAAAACATTCGACATTCAATAGCCGACGATTTTGACTTGCTGTTGGTTGAAATTCATTTTTTTTTTCTTGAAGCAATTGTTCAAGAATATGGGTTTCTCATGTGCAGCAGTGACAGTGCTATATAAGAATAAAGTGTCGCTACCGACACTAGCGTTTGAACACAGATCATCAGAAAGCAAATACAGGCGATCCCATTTGAAATAAGTAGACCACGTACAAGTGAATGTATATATGGAAATTAGCGTGTCGTCTGATTGATGACTATTTCTACACTATTCTCTATTTTCTGTACTATTCACTATACTATTTCTCTATACTGATCACTTTACGGATCACTATTATCTATCCTATTCTCTGTACTATTTCACTATAATGATCAATATAGGGATCACTATTCTCTGTACTATTCACTATACTATTTCTCTATACTGATCAATATACGGATCGCTATTCTCTGTACTATTTCACTATAATGATCAATATAGGGATCACTATTCTCTGTAATATTTACTATACTATTTCCCTATACTGATCAATATACGGATCGCTATTCTCTGTACTATTCACTATACTATTTCTCTATACTGATCACTATACGGATTACTATTCGGATCGCTGCTTTTAATTTTGGAGGAGTATTTTCAAGCAAGTATTATTAGTGCAAATGATATTCGAAGGCGTCTGACACCAGTATTGTCCTGATCTGGCATTTCGCCTTCAGTGTCTTTCCCAGCGCTGTAATATATTTTTTGGTTTTACGTTATATTTCTATTAAGCCACATTGAAGTGCGAATACAATAAGTTATGTCTTCCATACCACAAGTGTTCCCGGTGAAATCCTTTGTCGCGATTCCTGGACAGCTCGAGAAAATGGTAAAGGAACCTGGTGCCCATAACGAATTCTAAATAAAACCTACGTTTACCAAAACACTGCAATAACTATATGGAACCAATTGTCTTGTCTACTGCAAGGAAAGTTGGTTCACTGTGTCGTGTCTTTAAATTCTTCTCATCAGAATCACTCTTTCACAATTACAAATCTACCATTCGTTCGTGCATTGAATACTGTTACCATATCTGGTCTAGTCTGTTCATTTCGAGATTCTTGACAAAATTCAGTGAAGAGTCTGCAATATAATCGGTCCTAACCAGGCATCTCGTCTTCTCACCGATGTGACGTGGCTTCCCTCTGTCTTTTCTAGAATTTTTTTCATGGCGACTGTTCTGATGAGCTTTTCCTCTGAAGCTCCAACAGATGAACTGAAGCATCTAGACCTTACCGTTTTACTGTAGAAATTGCTAAATCTAACTGCCGATTCTACACCAAAAATCTATTTTCTCGCACTTCTCACACGTGAAACTCCCTTCCGTTTCCTTCGTACACTTGCTTCGTAATCTTCAAAAGTTTAAATTCAACGTCATTCGCCATCTATCTTCTTGAACCCTGTTCAATTTTTATCCTTTTGTCAATCCTCCCTATTCTCAGTCTTCTCGATCTATTTCACTCCCTGTAACCCCCTGCGCATTAGAGGCATTACCGACTTGCATGGAAATGATTAAAAAAAAAAAACATTCGACATTCAATAGCCGACGATTTTGACTTGCTGTTGGTTGAAATTCATTTTTTTTTTCTTGAAACAATTGTTCAAGAATATGCGTTTCTCATGTGCAGCAGTGACAGTGCTATATAAGAATAAAGTTTCGCTACCGACACTAGAGTTTGAACACAGATCATCAGAAAGCAAATACTGGCGATCCCTTTTGAAATAAGTAGACCACGTACAAGTGAATGTATATATGGAAATTAGCGTGTCGTCTGATTGATGACTATTTCTACACTATTCTCTATTTTCTGTACTATTCACTATACTATTTCTCTATACTGATCACTTTACGGATCACTATTATCTATCCTATTCTCTGTACTATTTCACTATAATGATCAATATAGGGATCACTATTCTCTGTACTATTCACTATACTATTTCTCTATACTGATCACTATACGGATCACTATTCTCTATCCTATTCTCTGTACTATTTCACTATAATGATCAATATAGGGATCACTATTCTCTGTACTATTTACTATACTATTTCTCTATACTGATCACTATACGGATCACTATTATCTATCCTATTCTCTGTACTATTTCACTATAATGATCAATATAGGGATCACTATTCTCTGTACTATTTACTATACTATTTCTCTATACTGATCACTATACGGATCACTATTCTCTATCCTATTCTCTGTACTATTTCTCTATACTGATCAATATACGGATCACTATTCTCTGTACTATTCACTATACTATTTCTCTATACTGATCACTATACGGATTACTATTCAGATCACTGCTTTTAATTTTGGGGCGAGTATTTTCAAGCAAGTATTATTAGTGCAAGTGATATTCGAAGGCGTCAGACACCAGTATTGTTCAACAGCGTTACTAAAGTTGTATCTGCGATTACAAAGTCTCTACTACAACGAGCATTACGAAAGTGACAACGTGTATTCGTTGACATTATAAAATTGTCAACGAGTTTTCGTTGATATCACAAAAGCTGGGTGTTTCCTTCCTTGCCTTTTGTTTGGGGTTGTATGGAGGATCAAAATCTAGATTTTGTCATTATTCTATCTTCGAGTTACATGTGTGCTCATATAAGAAAGAAAATGAGTGAATACCGACACCGAGGTTCGAGCGTGACACTCTGGACATATGAATATATGTTTTCCGCCAGACATATATATAGCGATGTCAGGCTACTGACTGCAGTGATTATTAAGTGATTATTGAGTGGAACTATCCAGTCGAATTAGTGTGAATTATTGTGCGTCGATGATTTGGGTTTTGATTTAGGATTTACCGGATATAAAGCTGATCCTCTCTATTCACAAGGTATTCACTAATATTGTTAATTATCTTTGGTTGATTTTTACTGCTTTGTTCTTGTTAAGTTTTTATTTGCGGTTGTAATTAAATAGAGTTTTATTTTAACTTTGAGGCCTTGAGTTATACTTAATTATTAACGTCCACCGTACGTCACAAAAAATGTTTTATCCATTTTAGTTGTTGTTACTGTTGAATATCCTCAACTGATGCCATTTCTCTTATTTGTTACACTATTTTTTTCTGATTGTGTAGCACTAGTCCACGTTGCACGATGAAGCAAGGTCCTCGCTGGGACCTACACGCTTCACTCACATGAAGCTGTTTTTGACCATCGATCAGACAAAGCATTTGATATTTGGATATTTCCAAACGGTTTTGGTACCATGAATGACATCCATATAAAAGTCTTGATCTAACAACTTAGCATTGGAACGGAATAAATGAAAACTAGGAAATATCTGTCAAGTTGTATTAATTTTTATAGCGAAGTGATTTTCATCCCCATATGTAATTTACTGTTTATGGGTGTGTGGTAAAAATTATCGGTCTGATAGATTTTCTACATCCTGCTCAAATAATGAAACATACATTTTCTCTTGGATATTTTGGTCAAGCTGAGGACTTGCTTCTATTGGATTACGTCCGATCAGCCTTTTTTGATTGTTGCTGTAGATTAACGGTCCGAGAAATTTTTTTTTTTTTTTTTTTTTTTGCAAATTTATTTTTCGGTTCGTAAAGGAAGGAAGGAAGGAGAATGTCAGGAAAAATGAAAAAGGAGAGAAATAAAAAAAAAAAAACTCAAAGAGAGATTAAATGATAAAGAAATGGATAGATATATGAATTAAAAAAAAAGAGAATAGGTTGAAAAAGAAGAAGGAAGATCGAAAGAAAGAAAGAAAGAAAGAAAGAAAGAAAAAGAAAGAAAGAAAGGCGTCGGGTTTGAAAGAAGAAAAACAAAAAAAAAAAAAAGAAAAAACGAAGGAATATGAAGAAAATAAATGAAAGAGATAAGGAAAATAGAAAGTGCATGAAAAAAGAGGGAAGAAGAAAAAAGAGGAAAAAGAAAGAAAGAATTTGAGAAAGAAAGGGGTAGATATAGGAATAGAATGAAAAAAGAGAACAGGCTGAAAAAGAAGGAAAAGGAAAATGTAACAGCGATAGAAACACAAGAGAAGAAAGAAAAAGAAAAGAGTAGAAAAAGAAGTATAATGACTAAAAGACTAAAAGAAAGAAAGAAAGAAAGAAAGAAAGAAAGAAAGAGAAAGTGACTCAAAAAAGCAAACAAAAAAGAAAGAAAAAATGAAAGGAAAAGAATTTAAATTAAAAAGAGAAGATGAAGAAAAAAAGCATGAGAAAAATTAAAAGAAATTAAGAAGCAAGAAAGAGGAGCAAAGAACAGAAAAAACCAGTGAAAGAAAAGAAAAAAAGGATAAAAAATATAAACAGAAGAAATGAACAGAAAAAGAAAATAAATGAATTAACAAAGAAAAAGAAAGACTGACAGAAAGACAAGAAAAACAATAAAAAAATAAAAACGCAAAACAAATCAAAAGAAAAAAGTAAATAAATTAAAAAAATAAACAACAAATAAAGTAAACAACAAAAAAGAAAACGAAAAAGAAATTTAATGAGAGATGAAAAAAGTTTAATAAACAAAGATAAATAAAAAACAAAGAAAAAGAATGAAAAATAAATGTAATAAAAATAGAGAAAAAAAAAGAACAAAATGAAAATCCTGAAAGAAAAAAACAGAAAGATGAAACCAATCAATACAAAGAAATAATATTTACAATGAAAGGATGAAAGAAATAATAACGATTGGAATAAACGAATGAATGAAACATCTTCGACCCTAAGTGAAATGGACGCGTAATCATAAATGCCAATTTACTTTGTCTTCAGTTTTATTGGAAAAACTATAATGGCATAAAAAGAAACAATTGATATTATTGTCTATAACTTTTAAAAATGAAGTGCGACACCGAAATCCGAAGTCGCATTGGAATAGCGAAAGATGTTTTCCAAAAGCTAAGCAACGTATTAAGAAACAGGAAAATGTCTTTAAAAATAAAGAAAAGAGTTCAGAATTCTTATGTAATATTGGTCCTGATATTATGTCATTGAATTCTGGAGGATGAATGGACTTGAAGTAGCCGGAATGGGATGCAGAGAATACCATTGTCGGAACAGTTAAGCAGCGGCAAAATTTTTGAGAATATGGTAAAAAAAAGGACACTTATACTTGTAATCAGAAAGCGACAATTGAAATTTCTAGATCATGTAATGAGAAAAGACGACCTGTCGTATTTTGACACTCACTAGAGGGACAGAGATAAAAAAAAAGTACGGAAATCTTGTGCTATACGACAGTAAATGCTGGACAATCTCCTAAGTGAGGAAGAACAGACTGCAGGCCAAAAAAACAATGTGGTTTTACAGAAGGATTTTGCGAATTTCATGGACCTGACATATGGTTAATGAAGAAGTATTAGAGAAAAAAAACAAAATTGAAACATACATAACGTTAGAAAAGAGACAGTTGAAATTTCTCTGGCACAGAAAGAGGGCTTGGAAAATTTGACACTCACAGAACATATGGAAGGCAATTTTAAATGGTAGAAAAGGTTTTAGCAAGAATAGCAAAAGTACAAACTCAAAGACACATGGCACAGTGGATAAAGGCGTTGGTTAGATCCAGTGACAGACCCAAAGAAGGTGAGTTCAATTCCTGGTTAAGGCAGTGGAGAACTTTCAGAGGGAAAATTATCAAGAGATAACTGATAACTGACATCCATCAAACATGGCACGTGGAACTAGAACAGTCTACCTCAGTGATCGAAATAAAGGGTTCAGTTCGAAATTCCAACCACCTGAAGAAGGCCGGGGCGTACAACGGCCGAAACGATGTGACAAATATGGCGACAAAGATGAGGACAATAGTCCGACTAATGTAAATACTGTAAAAGTGCAAACCTTAATAAATTTAGCTTCAGCTCAAGGTTCCCTAATTGCCAAGGTATTCCATAATACCCCTGTCCGTGGATGGAAGAATAGACAGGAGGAAGCATTTAACATAGATTATTCTCAGAAGAAAGGTTTTCGGACAATTTTGGACATCTGCCATGCAGAAACGTATGTTGACTGGTCCCAGACTCCCAAAAGAGCTTCAGGTTTTTTTTGCTATGATCAACACTACTCCAATGATTACAGAAAATGCATTCATTTTGAAAGTTTATCTCGGATGCTTAGCTCAGGTTCGCAAGATGTTTTCCGTGCCAACAAATAACGGAAAAAAAAATAAGTGAAGTTTAGACATCATGAACTTAGATAGAAACCTAACCAGAAAAAAATGTTGTGAGGATTGACTGAAATATATATTCTATCGAAATATCTTATTAAATCATTTTTCAGATACAGAGGGAAACTTGTATAAAAGCAAGGATTTAGTAAATGCAACTTGCTGTAAAGTGAATATTAAAAAGTATGTTATACTTGTAAAATTGCAGGTCTTTCGCAAAAGCACACTGGCGTAACGCGAACATTCGATAAGCTAGAAAATATGGATCGATGCAGATATGTCGTAAAGACAATTTGATGCCAAGTAAATATTCATAAAGCGGGGGAATCTTGTAGACATGCAGGTTTGTTTCACCACAAAAAGGTATAAAGCAAACATGCGTAAATAGGGGGATACCTGGTCTATGGAGATATTTCATAAAGTCAATTTGCGTAAAACGAACATTCAAGAGACTAGGGATTATGGCAGAAATGCAGGTATTTCGCAAAAATAAATAGGCGTAATGCGAACATCCGTAAAACTGTAGATACTTAGGGATGCAAATTTGTTAAACGAGAATTCGAAAGGCGGGAGATACTTGAAGAAAATCTGGTCTTCGAATAATAATAATAATAATAATAATAATAATAAAATAATAATAATAATAATAATAATAATAATAAAAATAAAATAATAATAAAAATAATAATAATAAAAATAAAAAATAATAATAATAAAAAATAATAATAATAATAATAATAATAAATTGAAATAGAAAAATGTGGAAATTGAAAACAAGAATAATACCAGTGGTAATAGGTGCACTTGGAATTATAAAAAATGGAACAAAAAAACAACACATTGAAAGAATCCTGGAAACCCCAACTTAAGAGACATACAGAAAATTGTCTTATTAAGTACAGCACACACTAAGGAGAACTTTGTCTATGTAACGCTAGCAACTTCATCGGAGATAAAAAAAAAAAAAAAAAAAAAAAAATTAACATGAAATGTAGTATTATAATAACACACCACGACCTGCCTTAGGTCTTTCCGCAGACTTGGTAGGTAGTGTGTCCATAACAAAAATAATAATAATAATAATAATAATAATAATAATAAATAATAATAATAATAATAAAAATAATAAAAAAATAATAATAATAATAATAATAATAAAAATAATAATAATAATAATAATAATAATAATACGACTGGTATTAAAAACTGAATTACGACTGGTATTAAAAACTGAATTACGACTGGTATTAAAAACTGAATTGAATTCTCAGAACAGAATTATGGCCATTAATAACCTTGCCATCCCAGTGGTCCAATATAGTTTCAACATCTTGAACTGGACTCTAAATGACATCAGACAAATGGATTCTAAAACAAGAAAGCTTCTTTCTAAGTATAAGATGCATCATCCAAAGGCTGATGTAGACCGTCTATACATACCCCGTAAAGAAGGTGGAAGAGGTCTTATTCAGCTAGAATTGTCATACAAGACAACAACTATTGGCTTACTAACTTACATGGAAACAACAAATGACTGGATGATAAAATTAGTGAAACAACATGAAAACAGAAAGAAAAAAAATATTCAATAATAAAAGAAGGCAGTAAATACAAACAACATTTACATTTAGTAGATTCTGTAGTAAATCAAAACAGAAGCCAAGAACCAACTATTGCAGCAAAAGATATGAAAAAGAAAGCCAAGGATAAAGCCCTTGAACAGATGAAACAACGCTGGCAAGACAAACCTCTGCATGGCCAATATCCAGAACGTGCAAATAAACCCAATGTTGATAAAGTTAATACTCATCGATGGTTACGAGCATCTGGATTAAAGTCTGAAACTGAAGGTTTTATTCTTGCAGCGCAAGACCAGAGTCTTTTCACTAGGAATTTTCAGGCAAATATCATACATAATAATGTGGATCCAAAATGCAGGTTCTGTGACAAATACCAAGAAACAATAGACCATCTAATCTCAGGATGTTCTATACTTGCCCCAAATGAATATAAAAATCGTCACGATAGAGTGGGGCAATACTTACACTGGACAATGTGCAAACACTTTGGAAAATGTGTAAGCAAACACTAGTATGAACATCGGCCAGCGCCGGTTACAGAAATAGAAGATGTCACCATTCTATGGGATTATACCATCCACACAGACAGAAAAATTGAAACAAATAGGCCGGACATCATTGTCAAAAACCAGAAAGAAAAAACTTGCCTACTAATTGATATGGCTTGTCCAGCGGATTGTAACATAGCAACCAAGGAATTTGAAAAACTATCAAAATACAAAGACCTGGAAATTGAAATAGAAAAAATGTGGAAATTGAAAACAAGAATAATACCAGTGGTAATAGGTGCACTTGGAATTATAAAAATGGAACAAAACAACACATTGAAAGAATCCTGGAAACCCCAGCTTAAGAGACATACAGAAAATTGTCTTATTAAGTACAGCACACACACTAAGGAGAACTTTGTCTATGTAACGCTAGCAACTTCATCGGAGATAAAAAAAAAAAAAAAAAAAATTAACATGAAATGTGGCCATAACAACACACCACGACCTGCCTTAGGTCTTTCCGCAGACTTGGTAGGTAGTGTGTCCATAGCAGAAATCGAATGATGATGATGATAATAATAATAATAATAATAATAATAATAATAAAATAAAAAAAAAAACAAATTGGGGTAATGAAAACATAGGTAAAACGGGGAATATTTAGGGAAGGCATGTATTTGATAATGACAAATTTTCGTAAAACGAGTATTCGCAAGCCGGGGGATTAATAAGAAATAGATGTCTTTCGTAAAAAGCAAATCATTTGAACATTCGTAAAGCGGGGGTACTTGGTGATGCAGATATTTTTTAAAAGCAACTTTGTTTAAAAGGAATATTCTCAAAGTGGTGTATACTTGTTGAAACTCAGGTTATTCGCAAAAAGAAAAAAAAAAGAAAGAAAATAGCGTAATCCGGATTTTGGTAAAGCTTAGAATATTTGGTAATGGCAAGCCGGGGGATTAATAAGTAATGGTCTTTCGAAAAAATAAAAATAAAAATTAATTAGCATAATACGAACATTCGTAAAACAGGTCATATTGTGAGAGGCAGTCATAAATGCAATTTTAAGTTTAACAAGCATTTTATAAAAATAAAAAAAAAAATAAAAACTCAAATACAAAATGGCATGATGTGAACATTCGATAAGCAGGGAGGATCACTGAAGAAATGCTGTTCTTATAGATGCATTTTTTCGGCAAGATTAGAAGACATCTACATCAGAAATAATTGATTCATTACTGTTTTAATACGCAGTTTTGGCCGCTGTGTTTTTTTCTCTTCCTCAACTGCATCCTGTATCAGGGCAACCAGGACTGTTTATTTAGGTTTAATAGATACGCTGCACCTACAAATACGTGCATGTGCCTAAAAAATGCAAAAGACAAACAACAAAAAACACGACAGAGGAATGAGACAAATGGGTTTTCATATTATTTAGGTGTTGGTTTACAAAAAATACTTTTCAGCATTATCTTTTTAAAAAATGTCTTCCTTTAAGCTTGTTGCTTAATGCAATAAATCAAAGAGATTGTCGATGCGAATATCCTGTTCTAGCCTCAAAAAACAATTATTAAATCATTTTATTTTTGTTTTGAATATATATAGATCTCACCTGTTTTTCTACAGTTCGTTTTACGACAAATCCCTATTTCGAAGGACCTATATTCATACATGTTTCGCTATGCTCTCCGGAATCGAGTAAAATCTATGATGGACTTGCAATGAATTTATATTGGGACATTTTTTAATGCAGGACCAATTCCCCAATATTCTTTTTGCTTTTAAGATTTCAGTAAAGAAAAATGAATTCAAGGCCGCATTACACGTCGTTCAAGAAATCTGACATATGATGGGGGGGATGTTGTCTTCAGTCTGGGTTCCACATGCGAACCAAATACGACCATCTAACCTTTCAGAAACCAAATCAAACGCAACATTACCGCCGGGTATTCTATTGGTCATCGTCGAAATTTCTCAACAATGTTGCCAAGAAATATCAAAAAATAAAACTGGGATTCCAACCAAAAATGCTCCAGGAAAATAACATTCGACTACAAAGAAAGAAAATACCAACTGCAATTAAATGGCCGACAAAAATCATACGAGCACAAGGCTTAAAAATGGAGATGTTGTGGGAGCTAAATTCCTTCGTCTAAAAAAGGATGATAACTTTAAATACAACTGAGTTACTTCCCTTCTCTCTTATGACGAGGGTACCACTTTTGAATTGAATATGACGATATACATGCAAGAATGTGGAATTCGTTGTTTCAATCCATCTTTGCTCTCCTCATATAAAGCTTGTTTATTTATGTATTAAATTACATTTGTCTTCTATTTTCATTCAATTTTGTTCATCCCAACAGACTGTTAGATAGATAGATAGATAGATAGATAGATAGATAGATAGATAGATAGATAGATAGATCAGAGTGAGATACATATCTATAGATAGGAACAAACAAATATAGGAAGAACAGACTAAGACAGATAGACAGATAGATAAAACTGTTATGGAGTGATTTCACAGTGGAGGCTTGTATTTGTACTAAGTCGGTCCTAAAACAGGTTCGACGTACAAAACGTTAGGAACTTCATATAATAGGTATGACACAGAGTTATCTACTTGTGGTCGCTGATACTTTAGTATCCGACTAACGGGCGTCCGACATCGACTGACTGACCGACTGACTCGTTACTCTTACTACTCCTACTTATTATAGGTGGGAGAGTTTATTAACTATAGAATAGGTGTGTTCCACTATAACAAAACAAACTATGATAAAAAGATAAAAAGACTGACACACACACATATATATATATATATATATATATATATATATATATATATATATATATATATATATATATATATATATATGTATGTATATATATGCGAGTGTGTGCATGTGTGTGTGTGATAGATAGATAGATAGATAGATAGATAGATAGATAGATAGATAGATAGATATGAACAAAATCAGAGACGTTGAACAGACTGACACACAACACATACATATACATAGATAGATAGATAGATAGATAGATATGAACAAAATCAGAGACGTTACACAGACTGACACACAACACATACAGATAGATAGATAGATAGATAGATAGATAGATAGATAGATAGATAGATAGATAGATAGGTATGAACAAAATGAGAGACGTTGAACAGACTGACACACAACACATACATATAGATAGATAGATAGACAGATAGATAGATAGATGATTGTCGACGCATTTAACGAGTTAAAACATTTCTAAGAAGTTTGATCAATGTTAAATTTTGTGCACGCAAGAACGATAATGGCACTTGAAGACAGAAACTGACTAGCAATGTTTATTGCAGATAGTGGCAAACAAATTTATACTGTACAGGGATTGGTATATTTTGTAAACTCTGTTCATCGCGCTCGTGTATTTTTTAAGATGAAAGGTGAGGTCTGGGCGGATTCTACACATGTTCTTTTTTTTCTTCTATTATTATGTATGTTGTTTATTTAAATTATTTTTTCTGTTTGTAAAATTTGACATTTTTTTTACGAAAGATACATGGTAGAAATAATAACCGGTCCATTTTTCGATTCGTGGAGTATTCGTGAGTGACGTAATAGGGCATATAATACGAAAGTAATTACTTATTTCCGGTCTATGAATTCTGATTCAAACATCAAAGGAAGAATCAAATTTGAATGCTAAGACACATCATTTAGAATTAGTTTATCTATTAAGGTGTTCGGAAAGTAATTACGCATTTCTGGCTAGGAATTTTGATTCAAACAACAAAGGCAGAAGCAAATTGGAATGCTAAGAAACAGTATTTCGAATTAGTTTATCTATTAGGGTGTCCTGAAAATAATTAAGTATTTCTAGCTATGAATTCTATATTAAGAATCAAAGGCAGAATCAAATTGCAATGCTAAGAAACAGCATTTAAAATTAGTTTATCTATTAGTATTTTGGGGTGTCCTGAAAGTAATTAAGAAACAGCATTTAATTTATCTATTATGAATTCTGTATTAAGAATCAAAGGCAGAATCAAATTGGAATGCTAAGAAACAGCATTTAAAAATTAGTTTATCTATTAGCAGAATCAAATTGTCTAAGAAACAGCATTTAAAAAGTTTATCTATTAAGTATTTCTGGCTATGAATTCTGTATTAAGAATCAAAGGCAGAATCAAATTGGAATGCTAAGAAACAGCATTTAAAAATTTTTAAAGGGGTGTCCTGAAAGTCATTAAGTTTATCTATTCAAGATTCAAAGACAGAATCCTAAGAAACAGCATTTAAAATTAGTTTATCTATTTTCTATTTTCTGGATGAATTCTGTATTAAGAATCAAAGGCAGAATCAAATTGGAATGCTAAGAAACAGCATTTAAAATTAGTTTATCTATTAGGGTGTCCTGAAAGTAATTAAGTATTTCTGGCTATGAATTCTGTATTAAGAATCAAAGGCAGAATCAAATTGGAATGCTAAGAAACAGCATTTTAAAATTAGTTTATCTATTAGGGTGTCCTGAAAGTCATTAAGTATTTCTGGCTATGAATTCTGATTAAGAATCAAAGACAGAATCAAATTGGAATGCTAAGAAACAGCATTTAAAATTAGTTTATCTATTAGGTGTCCTGAAAGTTTATCTATTAGATTAGGGTGTCCTGAAAGCATTTGTCAGAATCAAATTGGAATGCTAAGAAAAGCATTTAAAATTAATAGGTGTCCTGAAAGTAATTTAGGCTATGAATTTGATTCAAGAATCAAAGACAGAATCAAATTGGAATGTTAAGAAACAGCATTTAAAATTAGTTTATCTATTAGGGTGTCCTGAAAGTCATTAAGTATTTCTGGCTATGAATTCTGATTCAAGATTCAAAGACAGAATCAAATTGGAATGCTAAGAAACAGCATTTAAAATTAGTTTATCTATTAGGGTGTCCTGAAAGTAATTAAGTATTTCTGGCTATGAATTCTGATTCAAGATTCAAAGACAGAATCAAATTGGAATGCTAAGAAACAGCATTTAAAATTAGTTTATCTATTAGGGTGTCCTGAAAGTCATTAAGTATTTCTGGCTATGAATTCTGATTCAAGATTCAAAGACAGAATCAAATTGGAATGCTAAGAAACAGCATTTAAAATTAGTTTATCTATTAGGGTGTCCTGAAAGTCATTAAGTATTTCTGGCTATGAATTCTGATTCAAGATTCAAAGGCAGAATCAAATTGGAATGCTAAGAAACAGCATTTAAAATTAGTTTATCTATTAGTCATTGTCCTGAAAAATTCATTAAGCAGAATCAAATTGGAATGGCTATAAAATTTATCTATTAAGAAATCATTAAAGGCAGAATCAAAAGGCAGAATCAAATTGGAATGAAACAGCATTTAAAATTAGTTTATCTATTAGGTGTCCTGAAAGTAATTAAGTATTTCTGGCTATGAATTCTGTATTCAAGAATCAAAGACAGAATCAAATTGGAATGCTAAGAAACAGCATTTAAAATTAGTTTATCTATTAGGGTGTCCTGAAAGTAATTAAGTATTTCTGGCTATGAATTCTGATTCAAGATTCAAAGACAGAATCAAATTGGAATGCTAAGAAACAGCATTTAAAATTAGTTTATCTATTAGGGTGTCCTGAATGTAATTAAGTATTTCTGGCTATGAATTCTGTATTAAGAATCAAAGGCAGAATCAAATTGGAATGCTCAGAAACATCATTTAAAATTAGTTTATCTATGAGGGTGTCCTGAAAGTAATTAAGTATTTCTGGCTACGAATTCTCTATTAAGAATCAAAGGCAGAATCAAATTGGAATGCTAAGAAACAGCATTTAAAATTAGTTTATCTATTAGGGTGTCCTGAAAGTAATTAAGTATTTCTGGCTATGAATTCTGATTAAGAATCAAAGGCAGAATCAAATTGGAATGCTAAGAAACAGCATTTAAAATTAGTTTATCTATTAGGGTGTCCTGAAAGTAATTTAGTATTTTATGAATTCTGATTCAAGATTCAAAAAGAATCAAATTGGAATTAAGAAACAGCATTTAAAATTAGTTTAAACAGCTATGAATTTAAGAAAAAATTAGCATTTTTATTTATTATGAGGGTGTCCTGAAAGTAATTAAGTATTTCTGGCTATGAATTCTGTATTAAGAATCAAAGGCAGAATCAAATTGGAATGCTAAGAAACAGCATTTTAAAATTAGTTTATCTATTAGGGTGTCCTGAAAGTAATTAAGTATTTCTGGCTATGAATTCTGTATTAAGAATCAAAGGCAGAATCAAATTGGAATGCTAAGAAACAGCATTTAAAATTAGTTTATCTATTAGGGTGTCCTGAAAGTCATTAAGTATTTCTGGCTATGAATTCTGTATTAAGAATCAAAGGCAGAATCAAATTGGAATGCTAAGAAACAGCATTTAAAATTAGTTTATCTATTAGGGTGTCCTGAAAGTAATTAAGTATTTCTGGCTATGAATTCTGTATTAAGAATCAAAGGCAGAATCAAATTGGAATGCTAAGAAACAGCATTTAAAATTAGTTTATCTATTAGGGTGTCCTGAAAGTAATTAAGTATTTCTGGCTATGAATTCTGTATTAAGAATCAAAGGCAGAATCAAATTGGAATGCTAAGAAATAGCATTTAAAATTAGTTTATCTATTAGGGTGTTCTGAAAGTAATTTAGTATTTCTGGCTCTGAATTCTGATTCAAGAATCAAAGGCAAAATCAAATTGGTATGTTACGAAACAGTATTTAGATTTAGTTTATCTATTAGGGTGTCCTGAAAGTCATTAAGTATTTCTGGCTATGAATTCTGTATTAAGAAGCAAAGGCAGAATCAAATTGGAATGCTAAGAAACAGCATTTTAAAATTAGTTTATCTATTATCCTATTATATTTCTGGCTATGTCCTGAAAGTCAAAGACAGAATCAAATTGGAATTTCATTTAAAATTAGTTTATCTATTAGGGTGTCCTGAAAGATTTGGCTATGAATTTGATTAAGATTCAAAGGCAGAATCAAATTGGAATGCTAAGAAACAGCATTTAAAATTAGTTTATCTATTAGGGGTGTCCTGAAAGTCATTAAAATTTCTGGCTATGAATTCTGTATTAAGAATCAAAGGCAGAATCAAATTGAATGCTAAGAAACAGCATTTAAAATTAGAGGGGGTGTCCAAAGTATTTCATGAATTCTGTATTAAGAATCAAAGGCAGAATCAAATTGGAATGCTAAGAAACAGCATTTAAAATTAGTTTATCTATTAGGGTGTCCTGAAAGTCATTAAGTATTTCTGGCTATGAATTCTGTATTAAGAATCAAAGGCAGAATCAAATTGGAATGCTAAGAAAAGCATTTAAAATTAGTTTATCATTTAAAATTAGTTTATCTATTAAGAATGTCCAGAATCAAATTGAATAAGAAACAGCATTTAAAATTAGTTTTCTATTGGTGTCCTATGAATTTCTGTGAATTTGAAGATTCAAAGACAGAATCAAATTGGAATGCTAAGAAACAGCATTTAAAATTAGTTTATCTATTAGGGTGTCCTGAAAGTCATTAAGTATTTCTGGCTATGAATTCTGTATTAAGAATCAAAGGCAGAATCAAATTGGAAATGCTAAGAAACAGCATTTAAAATTAGAGGGTGTCCTGAAAGAAAAATTTCTGGCTATGAATGATTCAAGATTCAAAGACAGAATCAAATTGGAATGCTAAGAAACAGCATTTAAAATTAGTTTATCTATTTTTGAAATCTATTATGAATTGTATTAAGAATCAAAGGCAGAATCAAATTGGAATTAAAAACAGCATTTAAAATTAGTTTATCTATTAGGGTGTCCTGAAAGTAATTAAGTGAATTCTGTATTAAGAATCAAAGGCAGAATCAAATTGGAATGCTAAGAAACAGCATTTAAAAATTAGTTTATCTATTAGGGTGTCCTGAAAGTCATTAAGTATTTCTGGCTATGAATTCTGTATTAAGAATCAAAGGCAGAATCAAATTGGAAATAAACAGCATTTAAAAATTAGTTTATCTGAAAGAATCATTTCTGGCTATTTTATTCAAGATTCAAAGACAGAATCAAATTAAATGCTAAGAAACAGCATTTTAAAAATTGTTTATCTATTAGGTGTCCTGAAAAACAGCATTTAAAAAAGTTTATCTATTGGGTGTTAAGAAAGTCATTTAAAAGTATTTCTGGCTATGAATTCTGTATTAAGAATTCAAAGGCAGAATCAAATTGGAATGCTAAGAAACAGCATTTAAAATTAGTTTATCTATTAGGGTGTCCTGAAAGTCATTAAGTATTTCTGGCTATGAATTCTGTATTAAGAATCAAAGACAGAATCAAATTGAAGCATTTAAAATTAGTTTATCTATTTGTCCTGAAAGTCATTAGTTTATCTGTATTAAGAATCAAAGGCAGAATCAAATTGAAATCTAAGAAACAGCATTTAAAATTAGTTTAATTAGGGGTGTCCTGAAAGTAATTAAGTATTTCTGGCTATGAATTCTGATTCAAGATTCAAAAGGCAGAATCAAATTGGAATGCTAAGAAACAGCA